AAACGTGTATGCCGCATGTTTTATCTTATATTCCATTATATTGTTACCGTTTAAATCTGTTCTTTCTAAACTTCTGAATGAATAAGAAAACTCGCTCAATGCAAATGTTGTTTTTTGTACTTTGAATACTATAAACTAATTTTTTTTTAAATGTTAATGCTGATGATGGAATTTAAGAAAATTCTGAAACGTCCATATTAATTAGAAATGGTTTTTTGGTATTATTGTGTTTTTAATATTTATTACAAAACTTTGTTTTCCACCTGAAGAAATTGTTATTTTTGAAATGTAAAGGATGGTTTTGAAGTTACACTTTTCTCAAAGATAGGTGGGCAAGGACAGTCTTCAAGAACAAAATGGCCCTTTGGCATCCATATTTTATGTCTGCTTAAGTTTAATTGATTTAAAGAAGATTGGCTTTTGGAATGAGTCATCATCAGTAATAATGAAGGCCAGCACTTTACAGAAGCTCATTTGGTGAATCAATGATTTTTCCAAAAAGGAATGGTTGGGTTGAAATTTTTTCAAAGGTAGGTATGCAAGGACAGCACATGCTGTCTGCATGTGCATCATTTAGGTAGTGTAGGAAGGTCAACTGCTTTATATCATTTATTTTGGGAATAATACACTTACATATACAATGTGTAGTTTATGCAGTTTGAAATGATATTTAATATTATAGAAAATAGTCAGTCCAAATGCTCTTAAAATTGACAAATTTTTACATTATGATCTTTAACTTTTTTTAAATCCAAGCCCATACAAGAGACCTAACTCCCTTGAAACTCCAATAAAAATTACCCCCTTACTGAAATGACACTCCTATATATCTGTATATTGTCCTACTATTATCAAAGGTATAGTTCTGCATGGTCTTTTAGAAATTTTAAATAAAATATTGCTTAATTCAGTGCTTTTTTTCTTTTACTCTAGTGTTTTGCCAACTGCAAGGTACTATTCTTTAGTAAGCTTTCAAACCATTGCTTACAAAACAAAAAAGAAAGGAAAAAAAAAAGACAACATCACTCTCTTTGTTATTTTCATGGTTCCCACTGAAATTTTATAAACCTTCTGAAATGCTAATAATGGCTGGAGACGGCTTAAATGGGTAATGAAGAAAAACTTTAATATAAGTTTAACATGACAGCAAATGTACAACGATTCGACAAGGTTTTGTCATCATCAGTGCTATCTATCACTATTAGTGTAATTAATATCTATTTCATTACTAAAAGATTTAGATTTTTGGTGCATTTATTTAAAACATTAACAATTTCTAGTGACTTACTATATATATATATACACACATATATAAACATAACGATAACCTATATTAAAAATAAAAAAGATTTTAACATAACACATTAAGTTTAACAATAACTGACATGACCTGGCTTTTATAGTTTACTATTCTATCACAACTACAATAACTAAAGCCTTCAGGCTCCACCCTCCAAATGAAACAATTTATATTGCACGAAAACTAAAATAAAAGAATAGCTATCATATAATCATAATTTTTATTAATTTTATTATAATATCAAATTCATCATATTCTTTGAATTTGACTTTTAGTTTTAAATTTAAAATATACGATCCAGTTGCCCAAGTCAAACTTCAAAGAACTTCCCTTACCTCTATCTTTGCCTGATTTAGTTAGTCTCTATAAAAGTGAACTGAATAGTGATTATCTATTTAACAACTGGTTTAGAGATTGCAACATGGAACACTTTAAGTTAAACGTTTAAAGTATGTTTAGTCTAACTAATTTAGATAGGCTAGTTCGGTAAATCTAGCATTTTTTTACCGCATTCTCAGCCAACCAGAATATTTTTCCCATATTTCTTTGCAACTTCCGGTATTTCAAAGGCGCGCCAATTTTTTTTTACTAGTTCCTTGCCTGTCTTGCCGTTTAGAGTGTGAGTTAGAGTGGGATTGTGAGTATTATTATTAATGTTTACTGTGTAACTTCATTTATAAAAACTAAAATTATGGACTTACAGATTTGTAAGCATATAGATCGCTAATTATATTATGAAAGATTAGATTTAAGAAATAGCATAACTTCTATGTTGTATAAAACTTCAGAATCAGAGTGTAACAGGCACATACTGACATAGGATGATCAAGGCACTTTCAAATTCAAGTTAATGACAACCTGATCATGTAATAATTCATTGTAGCGGTGAAGATTTTCCTGTAGTGCTAGTGGTTAAGTGAATAATATATGCATGTTTTCACCCACATACTTATAAAGAAATAGTTACACCATTACTATTTGGTGCACAAAAATCTCTGTGATAAAATGTTTAGTCATAACTTAAGCTTTTAAGGTTTATTGCAAGGGAGAATGATCTTTTATTTTTTAATCCAACTTATACGTTTTGTATATTACAGCTAGTAGTAGTAAATTTTTGGTACCACTGCCAGCTAGTGTTGTAGTGATTGATAATGGTATTAAGTTCTTGTAAGTCATGTGCTTAAAACTTGGAAGTTAAAAGTAGGTCTGAGGTGGTAATTTATTATAGAACTATAAGTTACAAAGATATGAATAATGTCTAGTAATAATTTTTCTGATCAGTTATGTTGCAGGCATTAACGTTTTAAGTATTTCTAAGCAGCAAGGCTAGAGGCAATCACTTTACAGAAGTTTAAGAAGAGAAAAATCAAAATGGGTTTGAATTTTTACTTTTCTTATGGGTGGGTATGCAAGGACAGCCTTGAAGAAAATCAAATGGTCCATATTTTTTTTTTAATTAATCATACTAAAATCATTTGATATAGTCTTACAATTAAGCTCTGAGGTTTCATATTAAACAGTTTGATTTATACAAACTTTGTATTTAATGAATTGCTAGAAATTTATCACTAAGTATTTTTTCTGATTGTGTGAAAGAATTTAGCATATTTTCTCATAATGTTAGCAGCTTGTTTGTAACTTAAAAATGTTTTTCACAAAATGGTGCTCTTTTTTTCATTTTTTTCACTAACATCATAAAAACAAGTATTGAGTTTAGTCTCATGCTCTTTAAGAAAAACTTGAAATGAGAAAATAAATCTGTTATGGCAATTGAGCCATAAGTATTGAAATTGGTTTAAAGAAATGCTGGAAATGAAAGTAATAACAAAAGTGTACATAGAGCTTATATCCACTATTATGGAACCACAAGTTTATAAACCATGATTCACAACTCTGCATCAGAATTTCAGAGATCATACGTGTTTTTCTTAATGCCCTTGTTAGTTATTTACCTTTTTCATTCTTCCACACAAACAGACCATCCATAGATAAGTTGCACAAGCACCTTACAAATTTAGACATCTGAATCAAGTAAATTCTAGTTTTTCCATGCTTTAGAGAATAATTAACCAAAACTCTTGTATTATTATTTCATGTGTAAACTCTTTAAAAAAATTGATATTTTTTTAGGTTGTAAGGGGCAAATTACACACAATACCCCAAGTGAAACTTCACCATTCTTGTTTAACGTTACAGTAACTTTCGTATTGTAAAAATAAAACATTCCTGTAGCTAAAACCAATAAACATTTGCCTTTCTCTCACACCCTTGAATGGTCCAAAAAAGGATTTAAGGTTTATAAGGAAAGTTAAGAAAACATGGAGTATTCAAAATTATGCTGCATGTTGTAAAAACATAATAGTAGAGAAGAAAGTTTTTGATAGAAGTCTTCAATTCTTTTTTTTATGATAGAAAGTAAAAACAAGATTATTTACTATTTAAACTATTTAATGGGAAGATGAGCAAATTTGAACTTTCATTGAAATGAAAGAAAATTTCCTTATTAAAAAAAGCTTACAAATTTAAACATAAAATTGCTTAATCCTGATGAAGTGTATTTTAAAACTACAAAAAAGTAATTGAATCATTTTTCAGAAAACTTAGCTTAATGAAGAAACAAAACATGAATGTAATAACAGAAAGCATTTATTAGATGTTTTGGAATCATCATAATTCCATCATCAGTAATTTATGGTTACAAAACAAACAAACAACATTTGTATTTACAACAGAAATATATATATACATAAGAAATAAACAAATTGAATATATAAATAAAAACTGAGGCACAGATGAATTAGTTAAAATAGGTTTAAATCCTGTGAAGACTGTGTGTTACTTAGGGATGGGAGAAGAATTTTTATATATAATGTTTTTTTTATAAGAAGTTCAGTATCATGTTTGGCTGTTGAAAGAATTTTAAAGTTTGAGAAAGAAATCGGATGTCCTGTATTGTTTGTTTTGCAACCCTAGATTACTGATGATAAAATTATGACTATTCTGAAATATCTAATAAATGCTTTTTGTCATTACAAAAAAAGATGCTGCTTATTGGGGAGAATCTAATGTGCTTCTTATACAGGTTCAGTAAAAAATCAGTTTTATATAAAGATTTGTTTTGGAAATTTTTTTAAAATTAAACAATAAATACCAATTAGTTTGATTTTAGGAAGAGATTTTTAGTCACATCATTATAATAGAGGCTTTGATGAAATTAGTCTTTTTTTTGTTGTTGTTGTTAACCAAATGTTCAATGGACTGATCCCTTATTGGAGAAGGGTGTTGACTATAATTCCAAATTGTGGCAAATTTTTTGTAAAATGTACAAGTCTGTTGTACACAAAAAAATCAATTGTGTTACAAAAATATTTATGCTTAAGATATGTGAAAATTGGCAGTGTCATGCTGACATAGACTAACAAGTCGGATTGCAAACTGATTTTCTTGTGAAGAATAAAAATACTTTTTTCCATCATAAACTTTGCATAATGCATTTGTTTAACTTCTGAAATGCATATCTACAGTTTTTTCAGTTTCCCTGTATATCATGTCTGGTGTTTACTCTCATCTACCATGAACTGTTGCTAAATCAGCAATATAGGGTAAAAATGAATAGTTGGTTACTCTTAACATCAAATATATACCATGTTGAATGACACTCTGTAGAAAATTGTACACTTTGGTCCCCACTCATGTATACAAGGTAAAGAAAATCCCTGTATGTGCATTTATCTTAATTTTCAAAAGCCTTTAATGAATGTTTGTGCAAATCATTTAAATAGCTATATTTCAAATCCTTCTGGACTTTGAAAATACTAGGATTCATCTAATATATCATAACACGTTTCTTATGTGCATAAAATATATTTTAGGAAATTACATGCTTTATTTTATTGATATACACTATGATCATTCATTTCTTCACCTCACACTTAACATTGGTTTGTCTGAAATACCTTATTCAGTTTTAGATGGTTAGACCAAAATGTAAGTTTCACCACACTTTTAATAACTGAAATATAGTGAAACTTGGGCAGTTACTTGTCAGTGACTGAACTTGGATTTTGGCTTTACTTAATGAATAATGTAAATCATATGTAGTATTGCACTTAAATTAATATGAGATACAATGCTTGCATTAGCCACTGTGGCATCCTAGAAAAAATACAAAGTGAGGGGTCCCTCATAGTATTTGGCAATAAAAAGCATGTTTCGTATCTTAAAGTTATGTATGTAGGTAATCAGCAATATGTAAATGTATATATACTAGAATTGCCCTTTTCCCATGTTTGGACTTTTTTCTTTTTTTGAGGGGGTGAGGTTTGGAAAGCACTCTCTTTAATTATATTTTAAAGCAGTAACATCCCTTAATATAGGCCAGCATGAACATGATGATGTTGTGGTACAAATGAACGTTCAAATTTAAAACACAGATGAAAAGCAATACAAGGCCCTATGTGGCCACCTAGGCATAAGACCAGCCCTGTTAATATGCTTTGCAGTATATTCTATTTTTCTAATAGGATAGGATGGGTGACCTTTGAAAGGGTTGTTTTTAGATGTGGTAGATTCACTACATTCAAGGGAAGGCTTGATAAATATTTAAGTAAGAGCAAGTTTTCAGGATATTTCTATTATCATATTTATTTTATATTTTCTTTAGTTGAATCTAATGGATGGGACAGCGTAGATGGACTAATGGGCATCTTGTTGGCATTAAATGTTATGTTATAGTACTTACACAGTATAATTTAATACAAAAATGCGTACCTGTCTTGTTGGATCAGTCTGATGTCAAAAGTACTTTAAGCAGTCAATCCTGAAAGAGCACGTTTGGTAATAGTTGAAGTTATCATGTTCATAAAATTTGTTCAAAAGTTATCAACAAATGTCTTAAATTTAAAAAAAAATCTTTTGAAGGTTGTTTTAGATAATGTGCTCATTAATTAATTACTTCTGAACTCCTTTTTGGCAAGTAAAACAAAAGGTTTTAATTATGCAACTAATGTAACTTAGGAAAGTGTACAATACACGATGGCCTCTCTGCTAAATAACCATAATAGGTTGTTTTAGTTACTAAGGCCATCTTGATGGTATTCTGAATGCCAATCTAAATCAAGCATCATTTTGATCGCTAATAAACACTTTCTTTGATTTAAAAAAAATGCATTAATTGAAATTCTAATTTGAAGATATATTTAGAAGCATTATAATGTATATTTATACATTTTTGATACAAAAATGTTGGAAAAGGGGGTAGCTTACAAAATGCATGTGACTTTTAATGTTTCGTCTAGGATTCAGTAGATTTAATATTTGCTTTTGTGTGTTTTTGATAAGAAAAAATAAAGAAATTTATTCTAGAGTTTTACAAAGCAAAGAGTTTAGTGTGTGCTTAAGTGAATAAGATTTATTAGTGTTCTGAAATATGTGTTTTATAGTATACATGTATAATCTTATATACATTATAAGAAGATTATACATGGAAGAAATTGATATAATTATTTTTGTATTTTAAGAGAATTATTGTTAACAAAGTAAAATTGAAATAGAAGTAAGATAGTACTATAGTATTTAGAAGTGGTCAAAAGATGGTGAATGAGTTTTAATGATATTTTCAAGGTGAACTGTTTGATCTTATGTCTGATATTTGTCTTTGTTATTTTGTGCTTAGAAACTAATAAATTGAAATGAAGATGACATAGGTTTTGGGGAAAACAGGCTTGTAAACTTCTCCTCCACAAAACTGTTTCTAAAGTTTTTTTACTCTTAAGATTTTAACCATTTTGATTTATTGTTCAGGATCGGGAAGCTATTAACTACTTAACTTCTTTTACAGATGAAGGGATGGCTGCAGTGATTGTAGATGTGGGTTCTTCCAATTGTTTGGTGGTAGAAGCAGATAGTGAAGGTTCATTGTTGACTGACTTAGAGGAAAAGAACAAGATAGATGCTATAAAATTTGCTAAAACCTCAAATTCAACATTTTTATCTTCAGGTACTATAAGCCAAACTCCGGAAAACAAAGTGCTGGCTATAAACGGAGTTGTAAGTAGTAACCTTATTGATGGGTTGCAAGTACCAAAACGAGAACCTGACTATCAGAATAAAACCCAAAGCTTAAATGTTGCTGAGCTGAATGAAAGTATAATACCTTCATATAATGGAAAATGGAGACTTGGCAAACGAGGTCGACCACCTAAAATAAAAGAATATTTACTTAAAAATAAATGGCCACAGAGTAGTGAAATTCAAGAAAAGGGTACAACAAATTTACATAATACTGTAGAGCATAATGCATCTGTTCAAGAGAAAATATCTAAGTCTAGAACTAAGTCACACAAAAGTAAGCATATATCTTTAAAATGCAGTGCTATTCACGAAAAAGAAAACCAAATAATTTTAAATGAGTCTGATGATAAAAAAGAATTACCAGTACCATGTGTTAATGGTCATCTTGATGATTGTGCTGCTATTACAAAGTTAGACAGCTTTCAGGATAATGATGTAAACCTTAGCAACCATCCACTAGATGCAACGTTTAATTCACTTTCTGTGTCAGATTATAATAACTGTCAGATTTCAAAAAATTCATCCCCTAAGGTAATGTCAGATGTTTTGAGAACTGAAAATATTGGAGATTCATTTACTCAGTCACCAAGTAGTAGCCCAGAAGATCAACCACGCAGTAGATATGGTCGTTTACGCAAGAAACGAGAACTTAGTCCTGATATGGAGTCAATTCCGTTAGTGAGGAAGCGCAGTTTGAAGGGAGATACTCCAAAGATGCGTCATTCTCTTGAAAATTCTCATACAATCAGCATATTGGAAACTTTTCCAAAACCCAAGGAAAGTTCAAATGAAAATTCTTTTGATAATGGACTTGTAGAAAATGGCAATTTTGAAGCTAATTCATTTCTAGTTAAGAAAGACGATAGTCCCCTGATCCAGCATCAGGAATTTCCAGTAGAACAAAAAAATTCTCCTCTATCTCCACATGTAGTTGAGAATTCATCTATCTCATCTCAGTCTGTACATCCTATTGAGTATTTGGACAATAACGTTACTAAGCAGCGACATTTATCAATTACAGCAGAAGATGAAAAAGAAGTACCAGCTGAATGGATAATTGGAGATCTCTTATGGTCCAAAATATCTGGACACCCCTGGTGGCCATGCATGGTATCATTTGACCCTATTCAGGGAATTTACACCAAAGTTGTTCGTGGTAAGGCTTAGAATGTATTTGTTTATCCCAAGTTATTGATAAAAATATGAACCAGTCTAAAATTTTGTGTGTATTAAAATTTAAGTAGTAGTTACACCTACAGTAACACTAAAACACTGTTTATTTGGATATGTGTTCCCACCAAATCATGAGACACATTATGATATACACACATTAATTTAGGCTTGAATGCATTCTCTAATGGTTACTAGATGTTCTTCATATAAATTTTAAGTTTGTTGACTTGTTAGAATGAAAAAACTGGAAAGTATTATTATGGGCAGTTATCATGAAATGACAAAAGACAAGTCTCAACCTCCATTATAAATACATGTTTAGTGGACATAATAAAATTTATGTGAAATACTCAGAAAGATGTAAATTGACAATTATAATATTTGTTTAAAATTACTTATTCATCATGCACAGATCATATTGTCCAATATAATAATATCTAATTTTAATTATTCTAAATCTCTCTATGAAGGATTAATTTATTGTGAAATCAAAATTCTTCATCTTTAATCTAAAAAAGGCTAAGCAGCTCATTTTTCCAGACAACTACTACATTTCAAACTAAGTTTTTGATAACACTGATTTAATTATGGCTTAGCTCTATTTATATTTTATACTCTTACTTTTATGGGGTCCTGACAACTGAAAACATGGAAAGCTCACTTAAAACATTAAATGGTAATGAAATGTTATGGAAATTTTTTTATTGGGTACCCATGCACATTTTAATCTTTTGGTAAAGTTTGTTTATTTATATTTGTATGATCATATACAAGCCAACATGAGATACAGCTTGCAGGTTTTAATATTTTACTAACTCTTCTGTCATTGATAGACTAGAGGATTATATTTTGTAGTGATGTTAATCTATTACTAGAGACCTTGTAAAAGTATCATTTTTGTTGTTTGTCATTTTGTATGTTTGATATATTGCAATACATCGTGACTTCTGTACGACAAACATTGATTAATTTGATGTATATTCAAAGTAACTTAACTAATGTATTATATTTGGTAGAATCAGCCTTCAAAATGCTTGACCTACAAGCCAGCATTGTTATCTTGAATGTTCTGATTAAGCAGGTTTAAAACAATTATATTTCATCTTTACAGTTGCACTGACTTTAATCATAAGAGAAAACACTGCAATCAATCAATTAGTATGTCTATAAGTACACTAATATCCTGTTAGCTTTACTACTAGCAGCGAAGCACTGCTTCAATGTCTTGAGTAACTTATTCACATTTATACCAAGATATTTTCCTCAGTCACATTGTTGAGTTTGTTCCCTTCTGTACTAAACATCATCTAAGTTATGATAAACTAGGTGCATTTTCTTGTATTTAATATAATTAAAGGATGAGGCTTGAGTATGTTATATTAAAAACATTTTGAATTTGCAAATCAGTTAGTCATGTGACAACAATAGCAGATGTTTAGTCACAATGGAATGGCTTGTATCAGAATTAGATTTTGACATTGTTTGGCATTTTGTAGGTAGTGTTATGCCATCCAAAACTGATCACTTTTGGAAAGGGTATGTTAACAGCCCTTCCAAATGAAAGATATTCATACATTCATATCATAAAGATGTGCTCAGATTGGGAATTTGGAATTTACAAGACAGATATTCCTTGCACTTAATGATATTGGGGGGGGGGGGGCAAGGAATATGGATCGACACAAGGAACCAGGACCATCCAGAAAGAAACCCAATTGTAGTAAGCAAAATGCAGCATCTTGTGACAGGTAAGAATCCATGAACAAATAGGTCAGTGGCAAAAAAGGTATCTGTGTGTCCCAACAGAGTGCACAAGTCACGTGTACACAAGTTACTTGTACAACATATCCATTCAAGCATTGCATACCTCAAGCAGCTAGATAATTAAATTGGTATTCATACTATTCCATACAAAAATATACCAGTGAAGTCACTAGACTCAACTCCTATGGATTTCTTTGCAATTGGACTGTTGAACTAGGCATGGGGAATCATTGTCCATTGTTTATGGAAAGTATTTAGGAAGTAGTGGTGTGTTTTAGAAATAGCAGCCTTGTGGTGGAGCCTCTTGCAATTGAATCAATGCTATAGAGCTGCTTGTCAAGATGCATGGGCATCAGAGTGAATAACTGGATGTGGTGATATTAATTGTAACAGTACAGTGAGGTTTCAAAATCATTTTAATATGTACTTCTGTATTTGCACAACATACCAGTTGGTTCAAGTCATACTGTACTTTTTCAACATCCTTAGTATAGAGTCACCCCATCCCTGTTTAAAATGCCTTATGACTATTAAATAACTTAAAACATGGAATTTCAAAGTAATTTGTATCCTCAATATTCTCCAAGTCTAACCAAATTTCACTAATTTCCATTATATCATAGTCTTCCATTTCAACTAGAGCAACTTTTTCATTGTTGGCTTGTATACCACATTAGTTATATATAATATACCTACACATATATTTGCTTATAACATTAACACATTATTAAATTGATAATAATTAACAGGTTCATTTTACTTCAAACATTTATATTACAGTGAAAGAGATAAGCTAGTCATTATAAGCTAACTTGTTGACTTCAAAAAATTTAAAAGGTGAGTGTAAATATTGTGCATGCAGAATGTATAGAAATTTAAACTATAAAAACATGAAAGTGTTAAATCAGTAATAGAACTTCAGGGATGTTATGTTCCTTTATTATTAGACTATAAATGTAACTGCTGTGAGTGAAAACCAAATACATTCAGTTGGAATTGTATCTTAAATATATAAGCTTTAAGAACTAAGGATAGCCAGTTAATTAATTGAACAAAGTAGAAAGTATACAAAATTATGGAGTTTCATTAACAGCAGATCTTAGTACATACCTGCTGTCAGTTTCAATATAAATTATTTTGTATTATAGCTCAGTTTTGCATCAGTGTTAAAATTCAACTTTCTATTTCAGAAAGAAAACAATTCTGGAATTCTGAATGTTTTTAAAACTGTGTAATTAAAATGGGATGATTATGTAAAGGAAAATGAAACTGAACTTCTGCATTCTACTCTTCAGAAAGGTGGCTGTTCTGCATCTTCCAACACAATCTGTTTTCTGTTTGTTAGTTCATGCTTATAAACACAAGTGTTAATGAAAATAAAATTATTAGACAGTATGATAACACTAAATTATTATCATTGCAATATAAAAAAAGGTGTCACTAGTTAATAAGGTAATATGCCTCAGTTTGATCACAGCTCTAGCCTCATTGTACTTACTTAATGCAAGCATAAGGAAGTTTAACTTAATAAAAAAATTGAAATCTTTAAACTTTTAAACTAAACTTTGTTAGATATTTGTTAGCTAATATAAACAGATGGTATCCTTTTCTACAAGGATATACCATTTTTAGAAAGAAATAGATAATATTGATAAGGGGTTTGAACTATAAAAATATCTGTTACAATGTACGTCTTCTTTTAACTTATTCCCTGATGGCATGAGGTTGCTCAATTCTAAGTTGAGAATTGATTAGGTACTGGATTGGTAAAAATATATGTTCTGATATATCTTACCTCTCTCACAAATATCTGTTCTTGTCTTATTCTGCAAATCTTCCCTTGCCAATAGCCTTGATACTCCCACCTACCACCATATGTATTCATGTGAGACATGTACATGCAAATAATTATGCAACAACCCTCCACCAATAGCAATGCAACACAATTCCTTTCATCGCTGGCACACTGTCTTCCTTGCAGCCTGAAATCACTTCTCAATTGGCAGTTTTCTGTTTGGATGTGTTTTCAAACTATGTTTTTTGCTTACATGTTCGCATTTACAGGTTTTTTTTTTTTTTATTACCATATTTTTCAAATTTTTAAGGTTTTGAGAATTCTCTTTTTCCCAGTCAACTCCACTCTTCATGCACTCATAATTCCATGTGGCATCTACCACAGCTGCTGTAACTGCTACAGATGATTTGTCTGCTACTTCAATGATGTCTAAGGAAGCTTTGTTTGCGCAGGAAGTAACAGCTTTTGTTCGTAGGGAGTTGGCTACCTTTATGTTGTCTTCTGAGTCACCTGCTGATTGTCTTCTCTTACCATGTGAGGGTTTGCCTGGACATAACAATAAGGATTTAGACAGCCAGTTTATTTCTCGTGCCTATGCTTCACAGTCACGTTTTGTTCTGGGAGAATTGTCCAGGCCTCCTTCCCCAAGTATGTTATGTTTTATCCTTATCTGCCATTTCCTATCATTCTTCTCCTGTCCTTCTCAGTGATGAGCCATTGGATCAGTATTTAATGCTTCCTATCTCCTCCAGATATTGGGGTTCGTGCGAGTCATTTTGGGGACCAGTTGCATTTGAGTGTCAGTGTGCCTTCTCCCTCACATACCTTGGATGTTCGTGTCTGGGCATGCTGTTCTGTATTTATCTACTTAGACTCACTGTGTTTGGAGTTGCTTGTCCATTTGTGGGGATCATACCCCAATATTATGGTTTCCTTTTCTTAGCCCCAGTTTTACCATATTCATCTCTCCTTCCTGCTCCCAAGTATTGCTCTCATCCTTTCTTGGAGCAGTGTCTTCAGGGCAACTGGCAGTCTCAATTAATGCTTTGTGAGTTCAGGTCCTGAGGAGGGGCCAGGGTCCTCGGCTCTCTTCCTTCTTTGGCCCCCTCATCCTGTTTTATTCCCTCCTCTTTGGGATCCTGTTTCCTGCAAAACATTTTTAGGAGACAGTATGAGATTTGCTTTGCAAGGGTGCCATCAAAGAGGGAGATCCCTCTTATTCTGGATTTTATTCCTATCTGTTTATCATCCCTGAAAAGACAGAAGACTGTTGTCCTATCATTGATCTGTTGGCTCTGCACCATTCTTGGTCATCCCATGTTTCATGTTGGATTCATACTTAGTACTCTGGAGGTTTGTGAATGTCATTTCCCATCTTCCCAGCATCCAGACATTATCTTCATTTTGTCTATTGGATTGTGTGT